CATGGCGCAACTGTGTGCGTGAGCCGTTTTCGTGCGAAAGGTCGTGGGTTCACTTTTGGTGGCGGTCAACCTTTCATTTGAAAACCCAAAAGTCCACAGACTGACATGTCGACCAACAGACGCGTCTAGCGTTTTATATATAAGGAAGATATGGGTCAGTAAGATTTCTCGATCTGTTTTTAATGGAATAATGAAATAATTATTTTCGGCCCAGGCTAGCCGTGCGGCTTTTCACGGCTTTTTAAAATAATTGTTTCATGAGAAACGTAGATTTTTTTTGAAAAGTGGGACACAAAAAAAACGAAATTCTTTAAAAACTAATAGATTTTCACTTCACGCGTTTTTATAAGGCTAGACGCGGCCGGCCTCGGCTAGCCGCGGCTTTTCACGGCTTTCACATAAAAGCCGGGGCCGGCCGCGGCTGGCCGTCATTTTGCACAGCCTTGGTATAAAGTCATCTTATACTTGCACTGTGAGCTAAATTGTATCAATTTTTATAAGAGATAACAAAAATCTGTCAACTGATAAAATGTTGGGGATGTTATGAAAGCATACTTGCAAAATTCCGGGCCGGGCCGGGCCTGAGGAAATTTTCAAGGCCCAGAAGGCCCGGTGTCAAAAATTCTCTATTTTTGAGCCAAATTTTGAGCTCTCAATATAATTTTTTCCATTTTTTTTCGTATTTCGGATTGTTTGTCTGTCTGATCAAAAAAGATCGAAAAACTCGAAAAAAATGTTTTGGTCGAAAAAAATCACATAAGGGTCCCCCCTTATGTGTTTTTTGAAAATTTCGAAACTAGTGAAATGACGGGCCCGCCGGGCCGGGCCTCCGAAATTCCGGAAAAAGCCCGGCCCGGCCCGTTACAAGTATGATGAAAAGCATTAAACAGTGGAGAGATTTTCGTTATTTCTCACGGAAATTAAGATAATTGAGATCAAGGGGAAGGTATTGGGTGGCCTTCTACTCAGAGAATTTTTGGCGTCGAGTGGCGCGTTCCCAGCGCCTTCCTGGCTATTAGCCGGGGATTCGGCTATTAGCCCATGTTTTTGGCTAATAGCGGTAAACAACGGCTAATATGTTAGCCGTCCGGCGTCTAAGCGGCTCCTAGAACCAGAAACTCCTGGTGTGGCAGCTACATCCTAGGTCCGCGATTAGCGCGATTAGGTGGCGATCAGCGCTCCTACACCGCGAGCGCAAGGATCTGATTGACACCACTCGTCCTTCCTGGCGCATTATTTATTTTGATTTATTTCTGGCCTATTTTAAACGATTTTTACCAATATTATTCAACCCTATAAAATTCTGGATGAAATGGAGCTGCCGATGCGTACTGTAAAGACGTTGAGTAAGTACTACAATAAGTTTGACGTAAAAATGTGATATTTTCAGGTTTAATAGAAAGAACATCACAAATCTTTCGATTTTGTTGGATGATACCGAAGAAGAGCATGTAAAGGGGTAACCACTTATTCATTCGATTTTCCTCATAATGATCACATTTTCAGGCCCGACTTACGGACACTCCGCCTATGTTTCAACGACGCTTGGATTAAGATAAACACGGTTAGTACCATCAAAACCCTGTTCAAACAATTCTTTCCAAATTTCTGGTAACCAAGCTCATTCGGAACGACTACGGCGAGATCCAGGATGTGTGAGAATTATCTGAACTACATTCATCAATCTCCTCTTAAATTCATTCCTACTGTCATATCGATGTCTCCCTCGTTGTTCTACTAATTCTCACATCTCCTTTTTTGTTCCTCAACTCCCATCCAGACTTTTATCTACTTCATGATTATACTTATACAGTGGCGAGAAGTGGTGAGGAGAATTTTTTTGAGCATTCATAACTTTGTTCAAAATAGCTCAATTGACTTGAAATTTTGCATGAGAATAGCTGTAAAATCCAAAAACATAAAAATCGGTTTTTGTAAATTTATCATTTTTAGAATTTTCAGAGAAGTTGCAGATGTAACAGTGGTCCGAGAATCCAAAAAAAGAATTTTTTCTGAATTTTTTCTGGTTTTGATATTAAATGTCAAATGATTTTTAGTGTCCAAATATGCAAATATGCACCAAAAAAGTTTTGATGAGTTTTGGAAGCTGGGCTCTCGAGTTATGATGCTCAGAGCGCAAAAGGTATGTGTCGGCATTTTTGCCATAACTCAGCTGAAAATGCATTTTTGATGCTCAAAATTTCACAGATGATGTGTTTTGAGTTGTTTATCAGTTTTATGTTAACAGTTTTTCAATTGGAGAATTTTATTTATTTATTTTTTTCACCTCTAGGGAAACTTTCTAATATCTAAAAATGAGAGAAAATAATTCTCTACAATTGAAAAACTTTTAATATAAAACGGATAAACAACTTAAAACACATATTGTGTGAGATTTTGAGCATCAAAAATACTTTTTCAGCTGAGTTATTGAAAAAATGCCGACACATACCTTTTGTGCTCTGAGCACCATAACTCAAGAGCCCGGCTTCCAAAACTCTTCAAAACTTTTTTGCTGTATATTTGGACATTGAAAATCATTTGACACCTAAAATCAAAGCCTGAAAAAATTCAGAAAAAAAGTTATTTTTTGGATTCTCTGACCACTGTTACATCTGATACTGAAAATTCTGAAACTGAGAAAAAATTATGTTTTTGGATTTTACAGCTATTCTCATGCAAAATTTCAACTCAATTGAGCTATTTTGAACAAAGTTAGGAATGTTCGAAAAAATTCTCTTCACTCCTTCTCGCCACTGTATGTATTTGAATACACTGCGTTAATCTAATAAAGAATCTCAAACTAGTGCAACACCTATTTTCCTACGTAAATCCACAGTTCAATAAAGAGCGTATTTGCCGCTACTATACGCTTCCCAGCTACCGTATTGCGCCCATAAGCGGCTAATAGCGGCGCAAAACGGCTAATAGCGGAGAAAAATGGCTCATAGCGGAGCAAAACGGCTAGGCGCGACATGTATGTAAATTTTTTAAAAAATTTTCTGAGATTATAGTGTTTACGGTATCTTGGCTTCTATGAGAAGTGCCCAAAAACAAGTCAACTGATAAAAAATTCAAACTGGAAATCAATTTCAAAACTGTTACTTCCATTAATCCAAATAATGAGAAATATATTCACAAATTAATGACCAAAAAAATGAGACTATAAAAATTTCTATCGTTGAACTCTGATAAGTTGAATGAATAAATTTGTAATAGAATCAGTTGACCAATTACGGTATAACGACTGCCGATCTATTTTATAGCTGAAAAATTAGAAAAAACATTTCCAATTCACTTTTCCTATAAAAAAAAGTACGAGCCAAAATCAAATTAGTTTTACGTCGGCTATCGAAAATTCATCTAATTTCTTGCAGTGAAAAAGCTATCCCTCCAAGACAAATTGCTCAACAACAACAATAACAACGAGAGCAGTGAAGAGATTCGTCGTCGTCGTCCATCGAGTGTTCATACAGTCGGAGCAGCAGTTGCCAATGGTTCTTCAATTGCTCATATTCCACCAAGAAGTCACACAGACGAGCCGAAAAGTTCAATGATAAGGCAGGACACCACAAAAAGTCGAGCGAGTATTGCAGAATCCCATCAGGTCGATCTGATTCTGGAGGAAATCGCCGCTGACACACACTCGACGTTTCTATGATCTCTCTCTCTCTCTCTTTTTCTCATTTGTATCTCTTTTTAACATTTTTTACGGGCTCTGACAAGTTTACAGATTCTATGAATCGTTTTCCCCCCAACATTTCTCAGTGCCTTTAGGATCTCATGCTCCCTGTTTTCCATTTTTTCGAATTTCGGTTTTTGAAAATAAATTATTTCATTCCTATTTACTTATTCGAAATGATTCACTTCAAAAAGTCATAATAGAAAACTTACTAGAGTTTAATATCAGGAATTGGGAAAACTGGACGAATGTACAAAAAAGAAAACACATCATAAAAGATCTAATAAAAGCTCACCCAGTATTTGAACTTTGAGCTCAATTATCTCGGTTCTTATGAGAGATATCGAAAATTTGTCAACTGATAAAATGTTTATCATAACCAGTCTGTTTGCACCGAAATTTAATGAAATGCATTTCGCGACACTCCTGCATTGAATTTCGCTGCAGACTTTCGCTACATGAATAACTGCATTATAAGAATGATATCACCAAAATTTTATCACTACATCAACTTTTGATATCTTTTGATATCATGGCAACCGAGATAAGTGAACTTATTTTTTTCTAGTTTTTGGGACATGCTTTTTGAAAAATTTTACCTAAAAATACGGTAAATTTCCGTCAATGATTTGAGAATGTTTTTTTCTTTGACTTTGTGCAAAAATGCATGATCTTGAACATTAATTTCTAAGAACCTAAGAGCAAAAGGTGATTTTGTGGAAACGTTATTTTAGTCTGGGTTTTGAATATTTGAAATGGAGAAAAAAATCTGAAACAGTGGGAAGAAAGAAAAAAAAGGAAAGAAAGAGAATGCCAGGAAAATATGCGCGTTCTTTCTGGATCACTCGAATTTTCATAATTCCAAATTTTAAGAATTTCCGAACATAATTTCTGAATTTTCAAACTTCGGAATATACGAATTTCTGAATTCTTATTCACCGAGATTGCTAAAAATTTTAGAATTTCGTGGTTTTCCAATTTTTCAGGTTTTTAAATTTCGGAGTTTCTAAGTTTTCGAAATTTAGGATTTCTAAATTCTCGAGTTTGGATTTCTGAATTTCCGAAGCTCCAGAAACTTTTTGACAAGTAGGTTTTGAAGGGAGACCTTTATTTGGGAATCAGGGAAATAAACAATCAAAAGACTGATAAACAGTTTGCTGTGAAACGAATTTTTAATCGGGGAGAGAAGTCGGTTCCAGGCTCCAGAACGAAACATGGTGCCTGGGAGAAGGAAAGGTGGTGCCAAACTTTTTAAACATGAAAGAAGACAGAAAGCTTCAAAATTGCTTGAAATTTCAGATTTTCCGGTGGAAAATTCAGGGAATAGTGGGGAAATTTTTAAAAAAAATAGTGATATGATTTTTGGGGCTAAAAAATTTGAAATTTTGAACGCTTCCAACTGCGTGAAATTTCAGATTTTCCATTGACAAATTCAGGGAATAGTGGGGAAATTAGAAAGAGTGAAGTGCTTCAGTAGTTCTTAGTAGATGTAGTTGGCGAGCCTGTTGCGCGATAGTGGCAAGAACCCTCTAGGAGGGACCACCAGTCGCTGGGGAGATTATGTAAGTGAGGGGCCATTATCTTTGTGCTCTAAGAGCGGTAAAATAATGTTGGCGAGTCAAGTAAAGGAAACACACAACCACAGATGGTTCCACCCGCATATCCCATTGGTTTAATGGGTTCCCTGTTCCCATCAAAGGGAGTCAATGATTCAATCAGCCGAAGCCGGTGACCAAAGACCAGTTACCCGCCGTGTGCCTCGCGGCCTTCCCATCCATCCTCGACCTTTCCCAAGGGTCTCAAGAGCGGGGCTCTGTTCTAACTCGTCGTAAATTTGTTTTACTCTTCCTCTCATCAATGATTGCCTGGTTAAAGAGATTGGTTCGGCTGGAGCAGTTTCAAATTAGGGGACTAATGATCGGAACAGTATTGTTCGACGTTGCCTAGTGCAGAAGTACTTGACCTTATGTCGTGGGAAAGTGTTTGCCAGAACTTTTGGCTTGTCCGTTGTTGTGCAGAATTCTTTATATTCGCCTTGACTCGAGGCTCGTATATCGCATCAGACAATTAATCAATTGAGACCTAATGCTGGTTTGAACATCTCCTTCGATTCTTCATCTTCTACGATCCAATACAAAGTCTTCTGCGTTGTTGTTGATGAGCTTGAGAGCTGGCTTATGACTCGTTACTCATCGAGTTTCATACGTAATCACAGCGATCTTGATTCCGCGCATCACCATGTTTGCAAATACTTTCGACTCCGTGATCTTCGGAATCGAGTTCGCGTACATGTACGTCATCAGTACAAACGTCTTCAGACAGTCCAACTTCTGGGGTGGTGCCAGTCCACTTCTGTTGACCGTGTCAACATCCTTGATGACTGACTTGATCAGATCCATCTCCGACTGTCTATTCCAGTTTGCACTCCAAGGTACTTGTACGAGTCATTCTCTGACAAGTTGCGTATTGGTTGGCCTTTCAATTTCAACTCAGCATGTGGACGTATCTTCCCAAACTCGATGACCAAACTAGCACACTTGGCTGGCTTGAAAATCAAGTTCAAAGGAGTACAATCTTCATCCATTGCATCCAGTTCTCGTTGCAACTGTTCCTTTGATCCTGCGAGGATTGCCATGTCAACAGCGAAAGCTAGAAGCTTGATGTTCGATGAGAGGCAGTGTTGACCAGACGATTCGGAGAGGTGTTTCCTGATAACGTTCTCCAGACACATGTTGAAGAGAGTTGGCGAAATAGGATCTCCTTGTTTGACTCCCGATTTGATTTGAATCGGGTCCGTTTTCTCGCTTCTGTCCTTCACTCTGATAGAGGCTCCTCTGTACATGTCTCGAGTTGAAGTTGAATGTTCTGTAATGTTGAAAGTTAAACCATTCGAAACTTCAAAATTTCTTATACCAAAAAAATTTAAATACCTTCATAAAAATTCAAATGTTTATGAAAATAGTAGGAAAGTAGGTAAAACCAGAAAACAAATTGAAAATCAAATGATGAGTGCGAAGGTAAAAAATCAATAATCAGAATTTGGCCAAGACTTGTAGCCTTCCGACTATGGGCCAAGACTTGTGGAAGCCACCACAACGGCTCATGGAGGCGCATACTTTGGCCAAGACTTGTGGGAGGCTTGGCCAACACTTGTAAAATCATGAAATTTGGCCAATTATTGGCACCCGCAGCCGAGTGGCGACGAGGAAGTTGGCGGTTTCAGGTCGGCAATGAAGCAGATGCTCAAGGAGAAGAGATATGAGCTATACTCTGAAGCTCCCAAGAGGCCAAATGTATCAAAGTCTCCAACGAATACAAATGCAGTGATTTCAGATGATAGTGACATTCTGGTAATCCCTCCAGACAGTCCAATTGTTGATGATGAATCGCCGAAGAAAGACTTGCTTGAAATGGTGCAAGAGCCCGAACCGAAATCTGAGGAGAAGACGAGAGGGGAATTGAGCACCTCAGCTCTTCCTAAACTCATGGAAGATGTGGTCAGTCCACCACCAGGGTTGACTCCAAAAGCGGATCCTATTGATCTGAAATGTCAGAAATCGAGAAAAGAAAAAGCGTCTGGTCAAAAGGAAAAACAGAGGAAGGAAAACCGGATGAACTTGTACTGAAAGTTAGATCATGGTTTCAAAGCCAGTTCAAAGCCTACGAAGAGGAAGTGGCTCGAGTGGCTGACAAGTGCACTAACAGCTGCGATTCAGAAGGCGTCAGCTGGAGATGAGCAAACTGTGGAGAAGATCGAAAAACGCTGTCCTCCTCCTGAAATTAAAGAAGGAGAAATGGCAACTCAAACGGAGATCAAAAAACGACCAAGAGCGAAACGAGAAGCTAAGACTACAGATGACGACCAATCGATTATGAAATAGTATTGGGAGAACCGCTCGAAGACGTACAATAAGATCATTGGAAAAGAGGCCAAGCAGTGTGACATCTCAGTTGAAAAACTGGAAGAATTCTTCACAAAAACTACAGCTGTCACAAATGTGCCGAAGGCAATCCTGGACAAAGTCACATCAAGACTTCCAGGGGTTGATGTTGGAAAAAGGATTGAGGATCCGTTCGAGGCAAATACTCATTAGCTTGATGATCTTTTGCTAAATGCTCACTTGCTAAATATGCTCATTTGCTAAACTCGCTCATTTGCTAAAATAGTCTCACTTGCTAAATTTTGATCATTTGCTAAAAAGGAAAAAGTGGAAATTCTGTTGTTATTTGGGAATTTCAGTACTTTTTGACTGAATTTTTTCCAGAATATTCCGGTTTTTGTTTTAAATTTTAGGCTTAGGCTTAAACACCTGTTTCCGGTAAGGAGTTTCAGCCTAAGCCTTCAATTAGAACAAGTCCTCTATTTAACAAATGATCAAAATTTACCAAGTGAGACTATTTTAGCAAATGAGCGAGTTATTGATTTGTTTTTTAGAAGAAAAAATAAAATAAAAATTGACGGTAATTTGGAAAAATGGAAAACTGTTTATTATAATTTGAAATTCAGGAAGCATTAATAGTGTTCGACAACATCTCAAGGGTACTTTGTAAATGTAAATTTCGAAAAAAAATAAGAAGGGTAAAATGAATTCTCTAGTTTTGATCAGTTTCCCTCAGTGGTTTTAAACCAAATTCTCTTCTCCGTTCAAATCGTAAACTTCATGACAAAACGGACAGAAGGCGTTTTCTTGATTCTGATCGAACGGTGATTGCTCAATACATCTCTGGCAAATTCTGTGTCCACAACTGGTCACGATTCCAGGAATTTCGTTTTCGATGCATTGAATCATGCAAATCTCACACTTTAGAACAGTTGGTCTGAAAAAAAAAACGTTTTAGTATCGTTTTTAATTCTTGGGGCTTACTGTGGTGTCGCTTCTGCATTTTCTCTAGTTTTTGATTTCTTCTGATTATTGATTTTCTCATTGCAATTTGCTTCGCAACTCTTCGCCAATTCAATTCGATCACCCATCAAAACTGTCGATAATGTGATCAAAGTGCTCATCACAACGCTCGAATACGAGAGCACCACCATCAGAACGATTGCTCCGATTTGCGAATGAAACATCGACACCAAAAGCAGTGTGATGAAGGCGATTATCAAATAAATGACTCCGACAATGGCGATTTGAGGAGTACCGTGCTCCAGATGACATAAATTCTCAATTCTCCAAATGAATGTGTAGTAGACGATGGCAGAAGTGATATTGAATGCGAAATATACGAAGACAGTCGCCTGAAAATCGATCGATTCTTCATTGAAATCCGTTTTGCACTCACCGCAAAAGGAAACTTGCCGAAACAAATCACAATGTATGGAATAATTGCGAAAAAAAGCATTCCGAAACATCCGATTGTCAAATCTCTCTCGCATTTTTTGAGCACTGGTGTTTTGTATTTCCTATCGATACAAATGGTTCGAAATTTGAAAATTCCAATGATCAGTATGCTCAGTCCAACTGCAAAAACGACCTCGCTTATCGATTGCCAATGATTCTCGAAATTGTAATCGATCGATGCGAAAGTCAGTAGACAAATGGCTATAAGAAGTGTGAATAATAGTTGATAGTAGTGTCCGAGTCGGGTAAAGTGATAGATTTCTCCCATTTTGGAAACGCGGAGCAAATTTGAGAGGGAAGAGGAGAGAGTGAATGGGAAAACTAAAAGGCAAAGGAAGGGGGAAGAAAGGAAATTCGCGGGATTCGATTCCCGTAGATCAAAATTAGGTCGAAAAACGAATATCTTTATTACATCAGTTTGAAGCTTTTGAAGCTTTCTTTGTGAGTTGTTTTTAAAAATGCACAATAAACGGTTCTCTAGATATCACAACAGGGTAAAAAAGTGAAACAATTCAGGCAAAATGCGAAATACAGGCATTGATTGGGTTTTTGAAAAAATGGAAATCCGGAGAAGCCTTCCGAAAGCTGGAGCACTTGATGATTGCAGTATTATGGCAGGAATTTAACCAAATTGAAAAGCAGGATTTAATTGGAGTTAAATATATTGATACAAAAAAGCAACCACCAACGCACACTTTACCTAGAGTGTAAGTTATTTTTCAATATTAATTTTCAGAATACATCCTTTTTCGGATAGCTCTGAAATAACGATTTTTTTTTCAGATTCGATTGGGATGGTTTTCGAGACACGTTTCCAATCACAAGTCATTCATATGTAGTTAGAGAATCAGATAATCGTGTGGCATCGATTCGGTTTGAAGAGAAGGTTCTCAGTTTCGAAGTATGGGACGAAACAGAAGAGGAGTTTTTGAGAATGGTTAACTGATTGTTAATTGACATGTTTCCTGAACAAAAATCCAATCAATGCCTGTATTTCGCATTTTTTGCATCTCATAAATATCTGCTTTCCTTGAAAGTGACTTAAAATGTCAGGAAAAGAATTGTAGCGTTGGTCAATGTCGATGAATTCTGCCTGGTAGAACTTGGATTCTGGATTAAACGATATTTCTGAGTTCGAAAAGTACATTTGAACAGATTTCAAAACAGGGGAAGAGGAGAAAAACTTGTCAAAGTTTTTTATTTTCGTAAACCTAGATCCGAGGTACATACTAATACAAAACGATACGTTTAGCAGTTGCTTAGGTATATGATATGGTCCGTCTTCAAACTCTTTTGCTTTCCAATAATACTTCACAGAATGCGCAAAGAAATCAAGAAAATAATTATGGACTGATTCGAGTATTGATTCTTTGTCTGACTTTTGAACACATGCCACCGGATATGGATGAAAGTTTTCGGGTAACCATAATTCTTTATTACGCTCTCTTGTGAATAATCTGAAAAAAGAAAGAGACTTTTATGATTTATTATTCATTGTAACTCGCCGAAAATCGATTTTCTTTCCAGATACGTTCAACTGGAAATCTGGAGTTTCCGTCTCCTGGAACTCTTCAAATCTCATTAGAATGTCTTTATGCATAAATTTATGTGATTCGCGGAGAATATACGCACATAAATAATTATTTACATCAGTGGAATACACAATTGTATTGACACTTTCCAATCTTTTCTTCTGACACGATTTGATCAATTTTTTCATATTTTTGGAAACCAAAGAAAGTAGTAACAATTCAGAAGGTTCCATGTTTTGAAGTATTTCGTTTTGGACCAACCACGGGTATTTGGATAGAATCATTTCAGTTGCTCTGAAATATTGAAAAGGTTGTAGAGGAACAAGAATAATGATCTGGAAAAAAACGAACAAGATAGAAGATGAATTAGAAAAGAATCGACACCGAGTGACGTGGTAGATGACACAACAGTAACAGGAGCCATATGGCTCTATATAGAGGGTCATATGAGTGTGGGGTTATGAACTCGAAGGTTAGCACACATTCTTTTCTTTCCCAAAGGAATGAACAAACAAAAAAAGGTGGATCAATTGATTGGAGATGTTTTCTTAGAACCTTTACAGTAGTAGTCGGAATCGAGAATAGCGACTTTTTTTTCCAGGACACACTAGCAGACCCCCATAAAAAGGCTGTTGTCGTCTAGGTTGGAAACAGTTGAATACCGGAAAAAACAACCTGGAAAGCTTGAGTATGTATGCTTCAATATTAGCAAAAAATTCATGAAACGTTGGCTTTATGAGGTTTAACGGCAGTTTCAAGAATAGACGAAGTTTTTGAGATTTAGTGAGCAGCATACACATTACGAACGCCGATAGAACAAAGAATCTGAAATTTTAGAAAAAGATAAGTCAACGCTTTTCTTCTCGTCTAATTTCACTGCTCGTTGTGACCGAAAGTTTCAGGGTGGGCGGAGCTTAGGTCCGGTAGCAAAAATTAAAGGTACATTCACAGGTGGATCGCGAGGAACGTTATATGGGATCGCGCGGTGCAGTATATGCTTGCAATACGAAACATATAGGAGCGCATTGCGCGAGCATATAGGATCCACGCGCTGACCAAAGCATATAGGATCCACGCCGCCACACAGCATCCCCGCTCTTCCCCCAGGTTCTCATAATCTCTGTGAACTGAAAAGGACGTTTATCAATATAGTTTATTAATAACCAATAAAAACTACAACAAACGAAGGGAACAAATTGGAGGGGAAAAAAAAACAAAAAATTAAGTTATTTTCGCATCCTGGCTTGCGGAATCCGACTCGATTGTTTATTTTTGTTTTCGAAGGACCTGATTTTTTGGAAGTGAGCAGTAGATTGAAGAAAAAACCAGTAAGCGAACCGGAAACCACGAACGAAACGCGTTGGTCCAATTCTATTCGAAGTTCAACATCACTCTGGAAAAATTTAAGAGTGGTGTTAACTGAGGTTTTGAAAAGTTACCTTTGAGGAGCATAATTGCAAGCTTCTAATTGTGCTTTCAACTCTTCAGCCAATTTCGATGGATTTGTGCTTGTTTTTTTGACGAGTTGCGATCGTTGGCGATCCCAAAACAAGTTATCTAGATGATGTTAAGATGGAAGTTTTTAAACTCACAACAAGTTACCTCAGATTTTCAATTTAGAAATCTGGTTAAAGTTTGCAGGTTAGGAGAAACGATTCAGGGTTTACAGAACTTCAGAAATTTTTTTTTTAATTTTCTGGGATAGGGTCCGTCGGATTGACTAACCCTATATTTTATGTAGTGATTACGCTTTGATAAAATAAGAAAATTGTGTAAACTGTCACACATTAGAAACATAACCAGAACCGTATTTTCTAGTTCAATAAGCTTTACCAGAAAATGAAGCAATAAAAATGACAAGGGCTCGATAAATATCTAAACAAATACACCAATTTTTAGGAAACATGTTAATTAACCATTCTCAAAAACTCCTCTTCTGTTTTGCCCCAGGCTCCAAAACTGAACGTCTTCCCTTGACGGGAGAAGAGGAGAAAAAGTTTTCAAGTTTTTGGGTGTTCGCAACGCTAGATCCGAAGAACATCAAAGTACAAAATGACACGTTTTGCAGTTGGGTAGGAATATAATAATGTAAGTCTATCATCTCGTCTCCTTTCCAATAATACTGCAAAGAACTTCCGAAGAAATCAAGAAAATAATTATGGACCGATTACAGATTCTCTGTCAGATTTGGGAACACATGCCACAGGATATGGATGGAATTCATTTTCGGGTAAGCCAAACGTTTTATTACGCGCTCTTGTACATAATCTGGAATAATAACACTTTCATGATATATTTTTTATTGTAACTCACCGGAAGTCAATTATCGTCCCAGATACGTTCAGCTGAAAATCGGGAATTCCCGTCTCCTCGAATTCTTCAAATATAATTAAAATGTCGTCATACGGTTTGCGAGGAATAAACGCACTTAAAGGGTTTCTTCCATCAGCGGCATACACAATTGAATTGATACTTTTCAATCTTCTGTTTTGTGAAGATTTGATCAATTTTTTCATACCTTTAGAGACAAAAGAAAGTAGAAATAAATCTGATAATTTCATGTTTTGAAGTATTTCGTTTTGGATCAACCCCGGATACTTGGATAGAATCATTTTTAGTTGCTCTGAAATATTGAAAAGGTTGTAGAGGAACAAGAATGATGAACAAAAAAACTACAAACGATTGAGATAGGGGATGAATTAGAGAAGAATGGACACCGAGTGGCGTGGCAGGTGACACAAGAGACAGGAGCCGTATGTAGTCCAACGATGAATGTATTATTATGACCTTGAAGGGTTAAACGCACACTCTTTTCTTTCCCAAAGGAATGAACAATCAATAGAAGGAGGATTGATTATTTGGGGATCTTCTCACAATTAGTCTTCTCACAATTAGCACCTTCACTATGGTTGTCTGAATTCGTTTAGATGTTTATTGAGTCCTTGTTGTTTGAGTCCTCGTTCAAAAGTTCTCTAATAACACAAAAGAATCGCATGTTTTCAAAATGTTTTATGTACAATGTTCTAAATACTACTTCCAATCTCTTTTCACATATTTCCATCTTACTCTAACCTTGAGCCTCATTTTCAGCCGTAAATAAACAAGTTTCGAGAAAATGTTGAAATATGAAATTCCCCGTACTTTTAGTTGAAACCCAAAATATTTCATATTCTTTTTGAAAATCGCTGATTTTCCACTGAAAAAAAGGTTTTTGTCACTAAACTATAACACTTGAGAAGTGTCTTAAGGAGATTTTGAAAACGGACTTATAGGTTTTGAAAGGGATTTATATGTTTTGAACTCTTTCACTCTTTATAGTTGATTTGAGCCAATAAGCTTAAAAATCAAAAGGTTCCCTTGTTAGATATGTATCATTAATTCTTTGATTTAAAAATAGTCCTGGGTGTGCTTCTAAATGACTGTCGATTTTAACTTCTAGCCAGAAGCTGCATGCGTTTTTTTTTGGTCTGTGATACTGTCTATTCAATAAAACGTGGGCGCGCCGCAGGTTGCAAAG